TTTTTTTTTTTTTGTTTACAATAGATAACCTTTATAGCTTATATAACTTGTAATTCATTCCATTTTTAAATATTTCTTGTAGTTTAGTTGGTTAGAACTTGCATATTCATTTTGGAGGTCCAGGTTTCAGGTCCCATCTCAACTGATTTATTGTGGAATTTTTAGTTGTACAATTTTTACAAAAATTAACGTAATAGAGATGAGTTTCGAACCTTGACCTCTCCTTCAAATTATTGAAGCTTGACCATCATTACACTTGATGAAATTTGACACTAAGCTTACCAGAATTATATATGTTAAATTTCAGTCGTTTTAATGCAATTGTAAAAATTCTACCATGTGCTCTTCATTTGTTGAATTCGAGCCCATGACATTTCCTTGGGATAATGAAGGCTTGACAATTATAGCACTTATTGAACTTTGACACAAAATCACCAAAATAATATATGTTAAAGTTTATTGGTTTTAATGCCATTTTAAAAATTCGAACCCCGTGCCTTTTCTTTCAATTATATAAAACTTGATCACAATATCATTCGAAAAATATTGCTAATTTATACAACAGAATTATATATGTTCAGTTTGAACAAAATAATTAATATATTTAAATTTTAGATCTTGTTTGATTTGTCCATTTTCAAAATACATTTTCTTTATTCTTTTNATGCAATTTTAAAATTTTGAACCTATGTTCTTCCTTTGAATTATACAAAACTTGGTCACAATAATATTTGGTGAATATTGTTAATTTTTACAACAAACTTATATATGTTCAGTTTGAACAAAATAATTATTATATTTAAATTTCAGACCTTGTTTGATTTCCCTTTTTTCAAAATACATTTTCTCTATTCTTTTCAATCACACATTTTTCAATAAAATAATATTACATTCAAATTCAAAACTTTTCTTTATTTTTAACCACACATTTTCTATCAAATCACTATTCTAAAATGCATTTTTTTTGACAAAAAAATGACATCAATCGGGGCTCTTAATATTTTATTGTTGCCCACAGTCTACGGTCAAGGACCGCCCGTGCTGACTTAAAATGTTGGATCCGCCACTGTGTAGTATGAATAAGGCACTGGGATTAAAGGGCGTTAACTAAAACATATAGACTTTGATCTGATTTAACTAACGGGATGGAACCTTTAAGAAACTTTAGTGCTTGGATTGGAATAAACTTTTGAAAGTAACTTGAGAGACCAAATCAGTATTAACCTATTTTATAAATTTGTAACTTAACGAGTGCAAAAGGATCGAGTTGCTTGCCTACTCATGAGAGCTCGATCCATAAGCAGTTTAGGCTCGCTTTAAATCGAGTTTAGGGCTAAATCGAGCTCTATCTCATGTAGGCAATTTGAGTCGAGTCCAAACTCTATAAATAATTTTGTGTTCTTATGATTTTCAACAATTAGGGGCCGTTCTCTTTATATTTCAGTTTTGTGTTTTGAGTTTTGAATTCATTTTGAGTTTTGTCTTTTGAGTGTCCATTCTGAAATTGTTGAAAAAGTGTTCTTTTTGACATTTTGAAAAATTGTTTTGAAAACACACAAAATGCGTTTTGAAAATTTTGATTTGATTATAACTGAAAACACTCAAAACGACAAATTTGTCGTTTTGGGTTTTCTTTGTAAATTTTTAACTTGTTTTCAAAAACGCGTTTTCGAAAATAGGAAAGAGAACGAGTTTTCACTGTTTTGAAAAATCGAAAACAGAAAACGGCTCGAAAATGATAAAGAGAACATGCCCTTAGATTTTCCATTTTCATTTTTTTTTTAAAATAATGTCCAATGACTTACAGCCAGCCTAGCTGGCTCAACCCTTCATGGGAAGGGTCC